TTAAATATCAGATTTCAGAATATAGTGACCTTAAAAACTTGGTTCCATTTCAAGACAAACACAACATAGGACAACTCAGCTCAAAAAAAAAAAAAGCCACACACACACACACACACACACACACACACAGACACACACATAAACTGGACCACTGAATCATCCTTCCCAGAGGCTAAAGCAAAAGCACAATACATTAAGTTAAGAAAAACAAAACCATGTGCTGCAATGAGGCAAGATGTTGTCTCGCTGCCCCAATACTGTTATTCCTCGGGAGCCTCTGAAGGCAGCACCCACACGTGCCAAGAAGGCAAAGAAATATAAAAAAGTAAACAAAAGGGGCTTTCAAACAGAGTAAAATGTCTAGAGGAAAGAGAAAGAGAGATAAAGACAGAGACAGATGGAAAGAAAAAGAGTACAATACAGGAAAGAGAGAGGTCACCTAACGTACTCTTACCTTATAGTGAAATAAAGCTGAAGGGATATTCTACTGTGTGCCAATGTGTGTGAGTGCAAGACCAAATATGCACACACACACCTCCACACCTCCACACCTACACACACACACACACTGGCCCCTGCAAACAACTGAAGATTAATGGTCTGTGTTTACTGTCATCAGGGTGATGTTGAGCTCTTTTAGCCTGGATCTGCCTGGCAGCCAATCCTCAAGCCAAGATGGTTTGTCATATTATTACCCCTGGTGGAAATGACAGGCACTGTAATACACAAGACAATTTTATCACTTTGTCTATCCATCGACATTATCTGTGTGTGTCTATCTGGGATGTGACTAGGGACACACAATTCCTGTTTGTTTTCCTGTTTGGAATTGTGCAAGTAGACAAAAAAAATCATGAAAAAGTCAAATAAATGACTCCCATTATCTCCAGTGCTCCCTTCATTCACGGGAGAAGAAGTAGCTAAAGGCAAGCAGTTAACCTTAAACTAAACCCCCTTTCCTTGCTAGTGCCTGTTACACAATCACCTTTAATTCAGTGGGTTGCATTTAACAACAACACATCCTGGCCTTCTTACTCTTCGTCTCAAATTTTTTTGACGCATATTAAAATAAATGACGACGTACCTACACATAAAGCTGTACTTATCAACAGTTCTACATTATCAATGGGTCAAATAAGTATGTGTAATGTGACAGGGGTTGCTTATTGTGACAAACCCACAGACGCTTAACCAGAAGGTTCCTTCAGCTCTATTGAGCATTTTAGCATCATTCAGCTCACTTTGCATTTTCTGGTTCACTCTCACAGCTTAAGAGCCAGATACTTCTACCAGGAGCAGGTGGAGACTAAAACAGAGCAAGAAGACTTTCAGTTGTTGGGTGGACAAAAACATGACTCCAAAAAAAATGCTAATGTTGCAACTCCAACTAGATGCTAGTTAACTGTTTGCTAACATGTTTGCCATATTAACTTTAAGATTATGTTGTCTTGAATCAGTATTTTATCCCAAGTAATGGTCTTAAGAGGGAGTGTAAAAAGTTGTACAGATTGTAAAGCACTCTGAGACAAACATATTGATATGGTATACTGTATAAATACATTTATTTGACTTGAATACTCTGTATATATGCTTTTCATCATACTAGTATGCCATACCATGTTACCATTAAATTTCTCCAAAATAGGTTGATTGCCAGTGACTCCCAAAATGACATATATGACCAATGAAAAGTACCAGTCCAGCGAAAGGTGTACTGGACCTTATGTATGTTACGTAAGTCATGTGATGAAAGTCTTAATATGTTAAACAAGTGGTTAACATTGTGAAGTGGTCACAGTTTGGTTTGGTTTAGGCAACAACATTACTTGGTTAGGTTTAAGAAAACATTATGGCATGGGTTAAAATAAGAACATTACATAAGCCACATTACGTAAATAACGTAAGTCACATGACGTGCATTATTCCAGCCACGAGAGGACGGGGCCTGACAATAAACTTCAGTTTATTGGGTCGTAAAAAGCTGCTTGCACAATCTACCTATATGGCCATTTTCTGGTGAGAATGGGCTGATGCTACGCATGCCACTTTGTTTGAATTCATCCATATTTTAGCTTATTAATTGTGGGGGGTTGTGCCTGCTCTGTACGACCTTATCAACCACTAACTGCAAGGTCACAACAGAAATACTTTATATCCAGTTGTTCATATGCTTGTTAAAAGTGGTACATGCATCTTTTTTTTTTTCAAGCCACAGTGGAGCCAGCTGGTAGTCTCTGTCTCATCCTAGAAGTACCTCTCTACTGCTGCTGTTTTCCAGAAATAGTCTGTATATCCTGTAAACACTGACTATATCATGGATGTAGCTCTGGTTATCAGAGATAAACTTGACATTTCCAGAGTTTAATTTTTTTTTTACCCTGTTTTTGTGCTATAAGGATATTTCTTCTACCCAGTTGTACTCAGTAGTGCACTGCATCAAACGTAGAATACTGGCCAATAAAGGCTGCATCTTCCCAGTGACTCATTTGTTTACAATGCTTTTACCAAGATTAACATGACAATGATTTATTTGCGTTACTGTGATATAATATCTTTATCAGACCTGACATGTCAATCTGATACACATCCATGCTAATGATGAATAATGTAAACATTTTATTTTGGCTGCCAGATTACCAGTTCTGGGTCTGAGAGCAGCTGTTCTCCACACGTTGCTTAAGAAACAACATGTAGAGTGCAGGCAAGTCAATATGATTTGCAATTGAAAACTGGCATGTATTTGTCTTGACACTTGACATGCATCTATCAGTAACATATGCTTTGACAGAATATACTTACAGTACAGTGTTCAGTATGTGATAAATGAAGGGGTGATTACAGTCCTTTAGTTTGAATTTTTTGAAATTATAGAAGGAATGTATCTGTATATTTTGAATATGGAAATGAAATGGTAAAATAGCATTTGAAAAAATCCGTTATTCTAAAATCACCCTTAAAACTGGATTGGAAAATGGCTTTTACTTCAAGGGACTGGCTAATCTGTAATAAAATCAGCAACTCTTGTGCATTTTCTCCTGATTTTTCACTTTAAGCATTACTTGACCTGTCCTTGCCTTGAAGGGACCCTGTTTACTGTAAACTATAGTGAACAGGGTCTATTTTGCAGAAAGAAGCAGAAAAACTATTTAATACGTGGGAACATTATTAAGAAGATCTTTTGCAGAGATTTTAACTGATCTTGTCCTTGAAAAAAGTGGCCAGGTCAAATTACAAATGTTGTGTTGTTCTGTCTTGATATATTCACCACTCTTTTATATTGAAGGTGAAACCCCACAATTTAAACCTAAAACATTTTAACATAACAGCCCAGGCAGAAAAAAAGACGCCAAGAAATAAGTAAATAGGCATGGCAGCAATCTAAGTCTTGTTATTTGTGTGCAGATTGATGACACCGGGTTGCCATGTTATGATGGAAATAGAAATCTCCAGAAATGCTACAAAAAATAACGCAAAAAATAGAATGAAAATAAATGGGAGCTTTACTGATGGCAGTAAAAAAAATAATGTATGTTTACTTTGCCTTGCACTTGCTACACTGTAGAAACTACTGGAGCAAGTTGTGTGCCTGTGTGTGTGTGTGTGTGGTAAATGAATACCCATTGAGAGATGGCCTGAATCTGGCATCAGATATGTAAAAATACATCACTAAGGCTAAACAGAACCTATTATCTTGTGATGCCTGAAATGAATCCTCACTGCATCACAACAATATCTTATATTTCATCAATAACCAACTGCACTGCTGCAGAAGGGTAAATAAAGCAGTAAAGACCTCTGGTTGCGTTTCAGTTCTTCATTGTTATAAATAAAGATTTCATACCATCCACAGTGGATGAGTATGTGTAATGTTCCTCTGTCATGCCCATAAAGCCTGACTGAAGTCAGCCTTAAAAGATTGCCTGGAAAGCCTTGATGGTGCCTGCCTGATGTGCCAAGCACTCCTCACAAGATGAAGCCTTTGTAGTGTCACTGCTGCCTCCTCTAATATTATATGTGCCAGGTTTACAGGAACAGTTAACTGATGTGTGAAGCTCTGCCATTGTTTCCTTTCCATTTTATAACATTTTCCAAACACAGCAGACAAAAGCGTTTTCCTCAGATTTCACGTTTAAGACTTAAAATCCAACAGATCCTCTAATTCAGAAACAACGCCGAATAAAACCCATTCGCGCTTAACCAAGGGGTCCGGACTCAGATTTCTCCCCCAACCTGCTCTGCAATGATGTGCAAAGGCACTCAGCCCTAACAGAGGTGCACTGTTTGGCGCAAAGGATGGGGAACGTGTAAAATTGCGCAATTGTTCAGGCTCTCAATGCGCTTTTAAGCGCCTGGATCATTCATCCTTTGCCAGGTATGTCATCTCTAAGGGGAAATTTAGCCTGGACTGCGCTTCTTTCTTCCTTTTCTTTCAACTTCCACATCGAAAGCCTATAAAAGGTGCGAGCGTGGTTATCTGGACGTGCTCTGCATCCGTAATTATTATTCCTCTAGAAATAAACGAGGTAGGCGGTCAGACTTAAACATTAGCGTAAGGGACAGGAGAACAGTGAATGAGGGTTGGAGTGAAGGGCAAGAAAGGAAAAAATACAGACCCTGAGGCGAAAAGAAGAAACCTCCGGATTCCAAGCCGACTGCTTATTTTAACGAACAAACAAATGACAAACACCTTCCACCGCACCCAGTGATGTCTGAACCAGCGGTCATTGAGGAAAAGCTCAGTGTGGAACGCGTTAGGAGGTGAGGAAACATCGTCTCCACATCGCATCCAAACCCTTCCGACGCATGGTGCTTTCAGGTCTCCATGAGGCGACACTGTCCCCTCCGATTCACATCCACATCCCTCCCTCCCTCCCTCCCCCAAAAAAACTTGCTTTCCTCAGACAGTGCGGCGAATTAGAGGCAAAGACCCCCATAATTCATCACTATTGACATTGTTAACCCTACGGAAAACGCACCCAGAAAACTACAGAATGGCCTACCTTTTATCCAGAGATTGTCCACAATCCGGAGAAGAAAGTCAGTAGTAAAAACAGCAATATGGTTCTAATAATAATAGTAGCAGTACAAGGAGTAAGACGAGGAGGAGCAGAGGTAAGCCAGTAGTGGGGAATGGTAATGAAGACGCAGGGAGCTCTTATACGCCAGCCAAGACGGCGTATCCACCGACCGAGACGCACAAATAAAGGGGGAGAGGAGTCCGGATTCCAATGCACTGGCAGTTGTTTTTGTTGCCGTTGTTTTCTGTTGTGGCCCCTACTCCTCGTTTCCATGCAGCGCGACTTGTGCGACCTGTATGATCGGATGACCGGAGCGGCGCTTCATCAGCAAACCCGCATTTGTTGGGACGAGGCGCGCAGCACAGAGGACTTCTTCCTCATTCTTCCCTTCCGTTCGCCCTCTCGTTCCTTGCAAGCACGAGGGAGAGAGAGAGGAGGAGAATGAGAGTATGAGAGTGAGAAGGAGTGTGCGTGAGCGAGCGGGTCTGCGTGTGAGCAGGTCTCTACTTCGTCTCTTCCCTCACACACTGACTGAGGATCTGCTCGCCCTCCTCCTTCTTTCACTCTGTGCAGGGTGTCCGCGCGTCTCCCTCACTTCCCTGTCTTTGTGTGTCTATACACACACTGTAGCCTATATATTGCTTGTCACTTTCTCTCTCATACATACACACACCCGCGCCCACTCGCTTTACATTCCGGTTGTTATCAATATCCCATCGAAAATAAATAATGAGTAGTCCAGAAACACGGCAGATCTCTCTCTCTCTCTCTCTCTCTCTCTCTCTCTCTCTCTCTCTCTATATATATATATATATATATATATATATATATATATATATATATATATATATATATATATATATATATAACGGGAGGCCTACAAGTTGAATGATGTTATAAAGCCATAAAAATGCTTGTTTCTGATTGGCTGGCAGGTGTAGCTCCTAAATTGGGATGCCTTCAGACAAGACCACCATTCAGAATCAAAAGGTCAGACCTCCTAAAAAGCAGGTTATCTATAATAAAACGTATGGTTAGATCACTAAACAGCTTTACTAAGCACAATGCACTAAAAATACACTAAACAGAGCAGTATAAATTTAACTAACTAATGACCTGACTTGTTGGCCTTTAGGGAATACTTGTACTCTTAAAAAAAATGTCATAAAGAAGAACTGGAAATGTGGCAGAAGTCTGACATCCTGATATGAAACTATAAGGCTGAGCTCAATTTAACCACACATCTACTTTTTTCTTTTGGTAAGCAGCCATGGTATAGGTGCAAAAGTGCACCCATGCAGGGCTGCAGCGATAACATTTGCATTACATTCATACTTTTGCAACATCTACATCAGCTTTACTTCTAATTTTAAATTATTGCAAAAAGACATTCTGAAGGGAGAAAGAGAGAGAGAGTGAGACAGAAACAGAGACAGGAAAAGAAAGACATTAAAACACATTAAGTCATAACTGAGTCATCATAATAACCAAACATTGATTGTATGATAGATGACCTCCATATTACTGAAACAGACACAGTAAAATAGGCCAACACCACTAGTCCATGAGCAGAATATCATAAAGGGTCATTTATATTATGCGTCAAATGTAGCCATACAGTCTACGCCGCACACCTCCACAAAAATGTAACTATATGCACGTTGAAGTGACGCAGACTGCAAGAACCTTGATTGGTCGGCTTGGTAGCATCACATTTCTTCCTCCACATTTCTGGCTTGTCCTTCTTCTGACCCAACTGTTTCAAACGAAGAATTTCTATATTCTTTGATTCAAGGGTCGTACATACCATCCCTAGTGTCCATATGTGAGTTGGGAGTGAGAACATTGGTATAATGCTGTAAACACATATCTGGATATGATATCTCAAATAATAGGTATCTTTTAGGTAAGTGAAAGATAACTTAAAACCCCTATGTGTAGTATTTGAAAATGTCTGACTTTGAAGACTTCCAGTTGCAAAAAAGGCCACCACAGATCTGACCTGGGGCCTGTACTACAAAACAAGTCCAACATATATTTTCATTATCTGGCTAAGCCTAACAACAACACAACAACAACAAGCAGTCACACAATGCTGGTTATCATCTCTAGAACATCAACCCAGGGTTTCCCAGTCCAGTTCACATAAAAGGGGCGTGTTTCCAGTATATGGCCAATCCCAAACATAGACTATGTTTACTGGCAGCAGAGTGGCATATTTTACAAACAAAGAGCAAACTATAATATTAGGCAAATTTGAAAAAGTAGTAGAAGAACACATAATCCAGGTTATAACAAACACAGTGCTCACAAAAAATTGCAGACCATGTCAATGCATAAGTTAATAGGCTTATAATATCACTGCCACATTATTAGGGCAGGAGTAGATCTGACTGTAATTAAATTTGTGTATTCCATTAAATTAACGTGTTGCTTAGATGTATTCTGAAGGCCTGTATGATCATTTTAACCCTATTCCTTCACCTACAACTGCCGTGTGTTGACTTTTTGACTTTATAAGCTTCGGGCACTAAATTAGGTAAATAAGTTTACTGTTTCTGACTAACTGACAGCAGTGCAGCTTCCATCACTGGTGACTGAGAGCGCTGTCGTTAGCTCAGCTGCAATAAGCAATACATTACTTCCTCATTCAAATCTATTAAAAGGCATCGAAACAATCATAATCCGATATCTCCGATTGTCGGAAACAATAGAGCTTACCTTATGTGCAGTGCATGCATAGGTTAGTTTTGAACTGAACTGAATGTCTCTGGACTAGTAGCAGCCTGAACATACTACTGAACTGAAGACAGCGCTGATGATCGCATGAATGGTTATACGTTCACTTACTGATGGCATTTGAACTGTGATGCAACCGCTTAGCTTTGGATGTCAGTTTGTGTGAGTTAAAGTTGTAACGAGGACAGATGCACTGATGTGTTAGGAGTTGCTACGGAGTCGATGCATAGCCAACTATTCAGGAGTGAATAGTTAGACAGGATTGTTCACAAGAGAATGATCTTGGTCTCAGGGGTTAGATGATGGGGGACAGGGTTTGGAGGAGAGACCAAAGGCCACAGGCTGATAATGAAAGGGCACTGACTGGGACAGAGATTTGAGGGACACGTGATTGAGACCCTGACCTGGGCTGCAAATGAATATAGACAAACTAGAGCTGAAGCTTATGAATGGGAAGGATACATGGGATGAAATCAGAATAGAGGCAGGCTTTATTGGGGAAAATGGTTCTGATAGGTATACCGGAGCAGACTTGGAACAATGGATGGATTCAAGCTTGATAGTCAGATACAGTCTCTGGCAGTGAAACCAAAAAGACAAGCTCTCAAAAAGTCATAGGCTAAGAGGCAGCTATATCTCATGCTCGAAAACAGAAACAGATTTAGGCTCAGACAGAGAGACATGTTCAACCAGAGAAGGAAAAACAGATGCAAGTTCCGGCAGAGAAACAGAGAAGGGGGTAGCTGGGAAGTAAGAGGGAAGGTTACTTAATTGAGAAGCAGAGGGCAAACTAGCTGTCAGAAGGGCGGGAGGAAAGTGGGTGGGTGACTGAGGAAGTGAAGGGCTGGTTAATGAGGTTAGAGATGATCTACCAAACAGGGAAACAGTTAGTTGCCAGACTGAGTGATTGCTGGGTTGGCTGGGCAGCAGAGGGGACTGAAGCATGGACTTGATGAGGGTCCTAGAAACCACAAGGAACACTCTTGGACCTACAGCAAAGGGGCCATTAGTTGATATCCCTGAAAGATGACAAGCCAAGATCCCACAAATTCTCTCTGCTGGTACAGACTGCCCTCCAGCTGATTTGCTAAAGGCTTGGCAGGCTGATGCTGTGGGACAGGGAAAACATTGGGAATCTGACGCACAAGGGTTTTAGGGACCAGGGAACAGGATGGCCATGGCTGCAAGGATGTAGACATCTGGAGATGCAGCAGAATCTTGAGTCTTTTACATACAATGCCATTTGTTAAGTATTCATGAGTCACTTTAAGTCAGTTTTATTTCTATAGCTCTTCATCATAAAAGCTTTTTTCAAAGGTGTACAGAGACAAGCCTCCCTTGATCTAAATAATCATAATCAATAGGATGAATAGGTGAAACGGTTATTTTTTGTAATACTGGGAAGTTAGAAAGCCTTCACTTTAGATATAGAATATTAGTGTGCTAACCTTGTGCTATGCCAAATCTTGCTTTGCCTGGTTGGCTTCCATATATCTATTGGAGTAGTGAAACTACCAACCTTGGGCCCAATGGAAACATGCTGGACTATTAATACAAATATAATTTGCTCTGTTTCAGTGAAAATTTAGCATTATGCTACTACAATTGGACATAGTGGAAAACACTGTGCATGCAGAATGGAGACTTTGCAAGAATCAAGAAGTCCTAAAAAGTTAGATTAAGGAGGATCTTTGCTGAACAAGCATAGAAAGAATTTGAAACCTCAAATAAATTGTTTTCTTTCACATTTTATTCATTCACTCAATTTATTTGCAAATAGAATTTCAAAATAAAAAATTAAAATTCAGTTAAAGCTTTATGTTTTTTTCATGATTGGATGTTTTTATCTTAATATTTCACTGTCTCTGAATGTTAATATTGGACATTAATTAAACTGGCTTAGTTTCCGTTGTGATAACAAAGCATATTTCAATAAAATGGGACTGAAGTAGAGATAAAGATAAGAAAGGAGAGAGCCCTCTGCACATGTGAAGTTGACACAGGGAGGTAAGAGCTTCAGCTCATTCATTCATTATTCAAAGGAGCTTCACCCTTGGGTGCCTTCTTAGAGCACAGCCATTCTCATAGCTGTCAATCAAACACTCCTTCTTAAACTATAGAAGCTCAGCAAGAGCTATGCAGGTGGCATAAGGTATATGTGTAGATTGAAATTGAGTGGAGTGATGTAACTGGAACACAGGAAGTCAAACACCATGTTAGAAGACTTTAAATTAAAGGAAGAATAGAATCAGTTTTGTTGCATCTTGTTCCAAATATGTAAAATTACTTTCTACACTAAGTAAAACACTTTTGTAAGTTGATATAGTGGATTGGAATAAAACAAATCGTTTGAAGTTTTCCTTAAATGTTTCCAGGTGGATTTCTCCATTACTCAGTAATATCGGTATATACTGTACACTCCTTTGTGACTACAGGCTGAGAAGCGTGCTGCATATCTGCCGGGATACATTTTATTAGACTCTCACCATATACACTAACATGATAATGGCAGGCTGCTATTTTGAAATAGGATCATTTACATTTTAGTATAATTTGGTTGTGGCAATATAAAATATGGGAAATACTGTAAGCTAAAGATGGCAATTTATCATGCAGTTACAAAGAGAGCAAACATTTTCACACGCGCACACACACACATCAACACACACGCACAAATGATATACACTCAAAAAAGGAATAAGAGTAGTAAAGTCACATACTCTCAAGTTTTGCTCTCTCACTAACAAACACACACCTGTCTGCATACAAGCGCACACATAATTTTAACATCACAATGGTGCAC